AGGGGAGCCCTTTTCACTCTACTACTCATGCCTAGCATTTGATTTTATTCCAGATTTTCAGAGACATTGGCTCTGTTCTGTCCCTTGGCCTTTTCCTTTGAATCTTGAGATTCTCTTCCCCGCCTCTTAATCTATGTGGCCTCTTCCTCTTCCTGACAGTTCTTCAGACTTTTGATTTATTGGCTGAGATCTTGTGCAGACCATCACTTAAATGTCTCTTCATACAAGAGGCCCGCTCTAAGCACCTAATTTTAATGTGAGTCTTGTGCTGTGGCTTTAATTCGTATCCAGTCTTTCCTTCATCTTCATAACTGTTTGTTGTATCAGATGCAGATGTGGAGCTTTTTTTTTCTTGCCAGTTTTACCATCTTTCTTGCCACTCTAGATACCGAGCACATTCAGTGGTTCAGCGTGCCTATCTCAGCGTAGGTCCTCAAGAGTATATACTGAGTATTGTATACTGAATATTTGTGTTGAGCAGTCTGTGTTTGCATTTAATGAAAGGGAATTGACAATATTAAAGAAAAAGAATTGAATTTTTGAACCCGACAACATGCTGTCTGCATAATTTGGCACAAGATGTTTTTTGTTTTTAAGTTTTGTTTGTTTGCTTGCGTCTGTTTTCTCATCCACCAAATGGGATAGGTAGCATGTACCTCACATGCTTAAGGATAAGTGAGCTATCTTAGTAAATGAGATAATTCAAAGTATACCCAGTATTATTGGGCCTCTGGTTTACTGCTCTGAAGAGCATTTGATAGTAGATAAGCTGACACCTCCTCTTATTTTTGATAATCTCACTTTTCTTATTTGTTAAACGTGGATGACAATGATACCAATCTCATATGACACTGGTATCAATACATATAACAACAAGAATACAACTGAGAAAACTGCAATATAATATATATATATATATTGTTTTGTGATTGTTATTTTGTTGATTCTTAGTTGTAGACATTTTCCTGAAGAATATATATTCAACTTAAACTTATACAAATTATTGGCTCCCTTGAAACTCATGCTCCTATGTACATGTGCTATAGGCCACACCTTTTCATTATTTGTCTGAATCCACCTCTGTGGTGGAATTCACCTAACATGAAGCCACATCATGTGCATTAATTCATCTGAATGGAGTCCTTCTATTCATCAGATATGTCAAAGGATCTGTGCTGCAACAAAAGGCTTTTTAGTATTGGTTTTTGTTGCTTTGTTTATTTGGGGCTAAGAGGGGCTTGACAAGTAGCAAAGGCTGTAGCTTTATTCATTTTGAAGTTCATTCTTTACCCTTAGTTGTGGACTGAAATTTGGAGCTAACGTGTTGCAAAGCCAAACATGTGGGAACATTTGAGAAACCTGTGTTTGGGCAGCCCAACCACCTGCACAGCTATCATGGGTTGCCGCAGACTCAGTGCAGATGCAGCTGTCTGGGACTTGGGGACCTGATCTGAAACTGGCACCTTAACTGCCCCATTAGATGATCTTTACTTTTGTGAAACAGTAAATAGCAACCCTTATAATTCTCGCCTGAGAAATCGAAAAAGCTTCTGTCTTAAAAGCACTCAGGGAGCTTCTGGGAGCCTCTTGGAGCACTTACACAGATCTAGCACTGCTCCCTCATCATTCTCCTTGCCAGAGAAAAACAAAACAAAAACAACAATTAAAAGTTGCTCTTGGTATGAGAAGGGAACAGCAGTTAGTGGCTTTTAAAATGAATGGCCATGTGAGACATACACCGAATATCTGACATGCTTTATAAATGCTAAATAATAATGATGATAATGTCATAAGGCTTTCAGTTTTAAACTGTCTTAATTTTATTCTCAGTTTGAGATTGAAAATGATAATAGTTAATTATAGAAATTGGCCCAGAGTGAAGCCTTAAATCAGATTTTCATTAATGCATGCTTGCAGCAAATTACTGCATAGTGGGAGAGAAGACAGGTGGCAGTACTCTCATGGGGGGTTTCACTACTCTAGAGGTGTTTTTCCTGTCCCTGTGGGGCAGGGCCCTGTGGGGCTGGAGCAGTCCACCCTCCTGACCTGTGTTACTCTTACAGAAATCCTGCCTTGCTAGTCCATCTCTCCTCCTTTATCACAGCTTGTTTTATGTTGCTACCACACTTATATTTTTCCTCTATCTCCTCTTTCTCCTTATCTTTCCCTCCCTTTCCTTCTTATTCTCTTTCCCTTCCATGTTGTTGGACACAGGGTCTCACAGTGAGATCCAGGCTGATTTCAAACTTACTATCTAAAGTGCTTGGATTGCAGGTGTGTACCACTACACTCTGCACTTGTGATCTCTCTCTGTTGCTCGCTCTCTATCTCTCTCTCTCCCCTTTGCACATGGTTGCTTTATATTTCTCACTCTTTTTCACATACAGTCTTCTCTTTGTCCCTATATCACTGTCCTAACATGCACACACTGCTTCTCAGGGAAACTACTCTCAAATGTTGCCTTCACCCAGCTCTGGAAATGGAAGGAATATGCTAAGAGTGCTGCCTTCTCATCCTGGGGCTCTAAGGGTACATTCTACTCCCTGCCGCACCTCAGGTTACTTTCTCCTTCAACCTGTTAGTTCCTCCATGAGCTATGGTGGATGTCAGTTCTGTGGTCGTCCTGTTTGCTCCCTTCTCCCTAAGATCTGTGAATTCACCACCAGCCCAAGTGGTTAACTGACCTTTAGGTACAAGTTATTGTATGAAGAACATCTATTTTTAATGTTAGAGTCTCATTAAACACAGTGATATACTGTATTTAATCTCTTACAAAGAAAGAGTCTCCCTGAGAGGCTCATGGAAACTAACACCCATGAGGCAACTCCAGAACCACAGGTTGTATTTGATGCTTCCCCAGGAAACTCACCCTGGTAGCAGAAGTCAGTCCCAGGGTCCCAGGCATGTTCATTCTCCTCATCCTCTTCCCTTCCTCCCCCAACTCTCCCCCCGTCAGGTTAGGTATATTCCCAAGTCTGTGTATAGTATAACTACTTTCAGAGCAGTCACACAGTTTTAGATAGATTAAGCATAGTAACTCCTAACTCCTTCTAACTTAATGAGAAGGGCAAGTGTCTGTGAGAAGTTGACATCTGAACTTGCCCTTAAAAACTGTGCACTTGGAACTTTGTAGAAGTGTAGGAGCACCAGTGGGGGCCTTCCTGGAAAGCGTAGTTCTCTTTCACAAACTTAGTTAGCCTCAGTATTCTCCTGTTTCTAGCTCAAACCCTGTGGAGTCATTATTGCTGTGTTTTTCCTTCTATTGTTCTGGCAAGTTCCCCTCTGCCTGACTGTTACTTGGAAACTACTGTTGTACTGTACCTCCATGCTAACAGCATTTAATAGCTGCCATTAGGAAGCAAACTTCTGCTTACCAGTTGGCCTGCTGTGAATGGTATTGGGAGGTTTCATTTTTGGAAGTAGTCCCAATTCCTAACTGGCTTGAAAAATATTGTTCATTTCGCTTATTTTTAAGACCTTGCCTTTTTATTAAACATAGTACGTTTGTGTTTCTGTTATATTCTACTTCATCATGGTTGCAATTTTCTGGAAGAGGTTTTCTTCCTTACTGTATACTTAGCCTGCCCACTTTTGTCACTACCCACTCAATAAAGTCACATATAAATATCCATTAAGTACATTTAAATTTACTCACTAACCATTTTACTTGAGTCATCTTCCTTAGGCCTTTTTTTTTCTTTTTCTTTTTCTTTTTCTTTTTTTCCTTTTTTTCTTTTCCTTTTTTTTCTTTTTTTTTCCTTAGGCCTTTTAAAAGCCTTCTAAGATAGGAACTGTTTCTCATTCTGCAGATGAGAAACCATGGCTTAGCAGTCAGTCAACATGGATGAATAACCAATAGTCAGTCTAGAGAGCTTACCATTGCTGCATGTTGGCTAGGAGGTCATGAGTGTCTCCAAAGGTTTCTTCCATTAGAGGTCCAGACCCATTTGAAAGATTAGGGTTCTGGGAGGGATCAGAATAAAGAATGAGAAGAAATGTAATAGCATTTTCTGAACAGTTAAGTGCTCTTCAAATCTAACAATTTCTCGTGCTGTTTATAGTTATTTTAGCACATTGAAACAACACCATCTAAAAATGGCATGCAACACATACATATATACTTTGCAATTAGTGCAGCATAGCTTAATTGTGATTCTATTGTTGAAACTTTGATGCCTTGAGCTTGATGAATAGCTGTTTTCTGTGGGTGTTATCAATTAATCTAGGTAATGAATTGTCTTCATTATCTTATTCTTTATGTTAATTATACGGGATTTTCTTATACCTATTTATCAAGTCAAGACAAGTACAAGTTTTTTGGGCTAACATGGTTTTGAATATGGAATATGTACAAAGAAGTTAGCATGCTGGGTGTAAATTTACATTTCTGACAAATTTCAGTCAGTAGCTTGACTTTCTTTATATTTTTACTATGGTATGAGCCATATCTTTATTTGGGGATAATGCTTTTAATCAAATAGGTTTTTGTCTAAGATAATCAGATTATCCCGGTTTTTTAAGAATGTACCCTTAGCATATCAAAGAACTGTTGGAATCCTAGCCTATTTATACAGAGCAACAAATGATAACTTTTTAAATTTTGAACTGTTCATGTACTGAAACAAATAAGGAAATTTAAGTGACATTATGGACAAAAGGCTTACAAGTGCATCAAATTTTAAATGGCATTATTCACAAGAAATAAACACCAGTTCCAGATAACAATATTTTAAAGATGCAGAAAGCAGCATACATTAGATAAATGAACAGTAATTGAATTTGAGTTCTAAAGGGTTATTGATAGATTAATATGCAATGTCTTATATTGTTATTTATTCATTACTCAATTTTAACTTTCCTAACATGCTCTTATTTTTATTCAGTTTTATGTTCATATAAAAATTTTTAAGTCTTTAATTTTCTCATTTATTGCCTTTAGTTATCTTTCAGACTCTTAGCTGCCAACATTTTGATCGACAATTTCCTATTGTTGATTTCAGGTTGAAGCCATTCTTGTCAATATTTTTGGTGGTATTGTCAACTGTGCCATCGTTGCCAATGGGATCACTAAGGCCTGCCGAGAGCTAGAACTCAAAGTGCCCCTTGTGGTTCGGCTTGAAGGTAAATCTCAGTGAACTTCCAGTATCCAGTGTCCCTTCTGCAAGGTCATATGTCCCATATATTACATTCACTATCTTTCTGAGGTAGCATGGGAAACACTGACTGTAAAATATGTACAGCAAGTTAGCATGCTGTGGTTAAAATGGATATATTTAAAGGTCTCTGAGTCCCCATCAGATTCCTGTAGCTGTTCAGGAATGACAGCCAATACATTTTCAAACTTACTCCAAATGCATCCTCTTCTGTAGTGAATCATTTTATGAGATATATATTCTTAGGGGTGGGGGGAACCCTCAAAGAAATGCAACTCCATAAGCTTTTCATGGGAAAGCAATCAATCATAAACATTTTGTTCCTAGAACCTCTTGTTGAAGTTGATGACCCTAAAGGTCTTTTGTTGATGCTGAGTTATAACAGCCAAAATTAATTTGGTAACATATGACTTGGAATTTGAAAAACATTTATGAATTCATTTTTATATAGTAAAGTTTTATTTTCTATAACTTACACATAAAAATATTATGTATTTGGTAGTCCCCTTCTAATCATTGGGATATATTCAAGCATTGAAGTTACAGATATAAAAAACTGCTACATATACTGTTATTTCTACATTTACGTACTTATGATAACATTTAATTTATAAAGTATACACAGTAAGAGATTAACAATAACATCTAGAAACAAAATAGGACAATTATAACATTATAATATAATGAACGTTACATGAATGTTGTGATATCTTTCTCAAAATAATTAAGACAGTATATTTAGGGCTGGGAATGTGGCTTAGTGGTAGAGTACTTGCATAGCAGGCATGAAGCCCTGGGTTCAGTTCCTCAGTACCACATAAACAGAAAATACTGGAAGTGGAGCTATAGCTTGAGTGTGATAGAGTTCTAACTTTTGCAAAAGAAGCTCAGGAACAGTGCCCAACCCCTGAGTTCAAGCCCCAGGACTGGCCAAAAAGAAAAGACAGTGTATTTAGAATATAGTGGAGACCACAGGTAAAACTGATACTGTGGAAAAGAGAAATCACAGATCAGAGAAGACTACACAGTATTATATATCATGAAAATTAGCTACTTCTTTAAAATTTTTGTAAGTTGATGTTCCTTTTTAATGCTTTTGTAAATCCTTGTTCTATCTAGCTTGATACCTGTTTTGTATTCTATTTTAAAACATCACTTTGTGTGACTACACATACTTTACATACTTTTAACCAGAGATATATGTATTTGGAAGTGAAAGGAGTATTATGTTGTGTTTTTCTGAGGCAGAATCTCAGTGTGTACAGTCCATAATAGCCTTGAATTTGCTTAGTAGCTCAGGCTGAGATAGAACTTTGGATCTTGTTTCAGACTTATAAGTGCTGAAATTACAGGTGAGCAGCATCACACCAACTAGAGGGAATTCTTAGTAAACTCTTGATATAATTATGAATTTTCTTTTTTGGTATTACACTAAAAACATAAACTAAAGTAAACATCTACAGATATTTGTCTGAATATTAAAGATTTGCTTCAGTGTAGAATCTGAAATTTCAATGAACTTTTCATATTCCATTGTTCTTTCTTAAACATTAAATGGATTTTACTAATGAATGATTCATAATATGAATTGATTATTTTTTAAAATTCCAATTATACAGATTTTCAAAAGCGTGGCATATTTAAAAAAATAGAATGCAAAAGTATCCACACTTGCTAATATCACCATTTTCAACAGAAAATTCTTCTAAATGGTGGGAAGCTGTCAGGTCCACAGTGGCAGATGCAAGTTTTCAAGAACTTGAGTTTTCATCTTAATGTGTAAATTTTATCTTTTGTCACCCTTGGAGTGATAGATTCACCGCACTCATTTTTGTGAAAATACTCAAAACATAATGTAGTCTGAACAGGTATCATATGTCAGTCTTTCCAAATAAACTCAATTTCCTTGGAAAAGAGGGGAAATTGGCTCATACTCCAACAGGTGCATTGACATCTCAGCAACCAACATAATTCAGGACACAGTAGAGGTGCTATCGTGTAGCCTTCTCATTTGTTTATGGAATGCAGTGGAAATTATATAAGGGTGGTCTAATAATATTCTTACCATTCATCACTTTCACCTGGCAATTTTTTTATTGAGAATATGTGGTAGTGAAAAATACAATAATTACTATACAGTTAGTCTGGTGTTTTGGCTTTGGTTCCTTGGTTACAAACAGCAATTTTGCCTACTGTTTTTTTTTTTTTTTTTTTTTTTTTTTGGTCAGTGGTGGGGCTTGAACTCTGGGCTTGGGCACTATCCTCAGCTCTTCAGCTCAAGGTGAGCGCTCTACTGCTTGAGCCACAGCACCACTTCTGGGTTTCTAGTGGTTTATTGGAGATAAGAGTTTCACAGACTTTCCTTGCCCGGGCTGGCTTTGAACCGTGATCCTCAGATCTCTGCCTCCTGAGTAGCTAGGATGACAGGCGTGAGCTACCAGCACCCGGCCCTACTGTTATTTTTTACCCCATCAATACAAATGCCAACACAATAGTAATTATTACAGAAGCCATATTTAATAATTAACAGTAATTATTAAATTGCTACCATCCCTGTGAAAATATCTCTGAAAATTTCTCACATGCAAAGAAATGAAGAAACCTTTTAGTATGAAAACTATGCAAAAGTTAACCACATAGCCACTAAAACCAGATTACAATAGTCAAGCAGTCTCAATGAGGGCTGAATTTTCAGTATCATAGAAATCTGCCTCACTTTTTTCTTTAAAAATAGAAAAAAAATTGCTTAGTGTTCCAGAAGTATCAAATGACCCCTCTAATTCCTGGGGGTACATATAATAAAGTATGAAAGAAAATACATCCAAGATTATCTTTCTCAATAATCTCTGCTAGTGGTGTCAGAAGTCTGTCTGATATACTGAGAAAATGCTTTGAAGTGTCTAAGTTAGAATTGCATCTTTGAAGTAAATGTTCTTCCAAGGTGTATGTCTATGTTTTTCTTAATTAAGTATTATATTAATAAATACCACGTGCAGTTCATTGAGGTCTAGACATCAAGGAAGATGAACAGAAATATAAAAAATTAGCTTGAGAAATGAGACAAAGAAAAGCAAAAATTGACAGCATAAGACAACATATAAAACATTCATAAATGCTTGCCTGAAGAGGGCTGATTCTGTGTTTGTAAGTGATGCCATTGGGATCCAAGACAGCCACCACCAGACTTGTTTGCTGAGAAAATATATTCTGTGTTCTGGAGAAGTTAATATGATGACTCAAGGCAATATTTACATATATCATATATCATAATCCTACTCACCTTTTAAAACTTATGCAATACCGAGTACTGTCATTATTGTAGATTTGTTGATCTAAGTTTCCAAGTTGATAATGGAGAGATAAATAAGATGTGAATTATTGAAAGGAGTGAGGAAGGAGTTAGTTGGTAGAGGATCACATGAAGGTCATCCTCTATACCTAGGAGCAGCAACTTTTAGGACCAGAACAGTGGTAAACCTGAAACTCAGGACCTAAGATAGATTTAAAGGCTGAGCTAGAGCAGGTCATATCTGTAGCAATGTGTATGGCTAAAAGAGCACAACAGGAGAATTGAGTTGTTAGTTGGGTCTACAAAAACAAGTACAATCTAATACCCACATAAAGATTAACAAATTGCCACACACAGGTTAAAGTGGAGGAGAGAAAGAACAGAGAGAAAGGAGAGGAAAGAAAAAGGAGACTTGTAAATTTTAAATCTAAAGACCAGAATTTTGATGGCAAAGTTTTTGGGCCTGGGAACTGAAAGGAATGGGTGAGAGCTACCGTTAGGGTGTGATGGTACCACCAACATCTGAAAATGAGGTATGATAGAAAAACTTCACCAGAGTTTGAATTAATCAGCCCGGACTATCACTAACACTGATTAAGTGCTTTTCTAAGTTTCAGATCCTCTGCCACATGTCTATAGAGTCTGAACAACTGTGTCATTTTTAATCATCAAGATAACAAACATTTCAAAAGCCAGATGGCATGTTTGGTTAGTAGTGTCTATTTCCTGTAAATGAAGAAAACGGCCCCACTTGTTTATTCCCTGACCATGTGGAAAACCCAGCCTCCTGGCTTAAGTCTAATCCATTCACCAGCCAAATTTTAAAGACTATTGTGCACATACATGATGAGAAAAGTTTTGGACAGTAAGTCATACTTAATGTGGTGGGACTTCACCAAGTTTTTGTTCTCCTCTCTATAACAGTTCTTGCTCAAGAACAAATTACCTAGAAAGAGATGTTTTCTTGAAATGTATATAATGATTCCTGATGCTGGTGAAAAGTTTATGTGTAATTATTTACAACTTTGCATAGACAGTGTGAACACGTGTTCTAGACAAAGCTTTACATTTTATCCAGATGCTTTTTTAGTTCTGTATAAGAATCTGCCAGTGCCTTCAGATTTATGTTTTAGAATTTTTTTCTTATTTTTTATTCTGCTTAATTCTGTAGCAAATTTGCTTGAGGAGGAATTTGTTGTTCTCTCAGGTATTCATTATGATTCCAAGTTGAGCTCATAAAAAATAATAACAATGATAAACCTAGATAGTTTGTACATTGAATCCCATTTCTTCTAGCCATCTTCTCGGTTTAATTTTTTTCCATCCAATACCAGAAGATTTGTTTCATCAGTATAAATATTTTGGGTCTTTTACCAAATATCTTTAAAATAAAGAGTCCTGCCCACTTCATTATCATGCATGCAGTCACTAAGAATGTGATCATGTTGTGTCTTTTACTTCACTGACAAGTTGCCAACTCCTCTTTCAGTGGACAATTCTGTATCCTTACTCTCCAAAACACTTACACACTGGAGCCACAACTAAAGGAATGCAAATCTGTTGTGCTTCTTAGCATGGGTACAGTGAGATTGCTACATGGTACTTTGGTCTGCTGAAAGAGAGAAAGAAACTCATGAATATTAAAGCTGCAACAAGCAACCCCAGAGCTTTCAACTGTG